TATCACTTATTCTTTTTTTTCATACTTACTATAAGAGCTTTTAAAAGTAAAATATATTATAAAATATTAAGTATATAATTATAAGATAATTTACTTATAAGTAAATACTAAAAATAAGTAGTTAGAGATAATTAAAAAAGCTTATAAAAACCTAAATATTACTTAAGAGAAAGATAATAATATATCCTAAGTCATATTAGTAGTCTAGTTAACTTATATAAGTAGGTATTATAGTTTACTCTATACTTTTTTTTCCTTATACTTTAAACCTAATAGTAGTACTTTAACTTATACTTAATCTTAATAAAGTAAATAAATAAATCTTAATATAACTAGTTATTAACTCTTAACTTAACTTATCCTTAGTAGAAGAGGGTAAGTAGGTAAGTAGTAGAGTAGTAAAATATACTAGCGAGAGTGTTATTTATAATACTATTATTTATAAGAACGTTATTTATAACATTATAAAGGTATTATTTATAATATAAAACGCTAATAGTACTTATAGCTAATATAGCTAGAGCTTAGTAATAGCTTAAACCTATACTTAAGGGTATAAACTTAATAGTATAACTCTTTATATAACTAAAAGGGTTTTTATAACTATAACTTAAGAACTTAACTTAAATAAGGCCTTAAGCTTATTCCTTATATCCTCTTATATATATAATAATTTTATATAATATCTTTCCCCCTTATTATACCTATATATAAACTAAGTAAGGCTATATTAGATAACTTAATCTATAAAACTAAAGTAAATAAAATTAAAAGCTCTAAGTATAGTAACTTTCTTTATACTACTAAGAAAACTCTACTTAAATTCACTTAAAAGTATTTATTTAAAATAACTAATAAATATAATATATTAGAGTTATATAGTTTTAAAATTAATATAGAGATAGTTAAAGCTATTAATAATAATCCTAATACTTATAAATATCTTATAGACTTCCTTAAGATAGCTAAAGTAACTTAAAGGCTTAAATATTAGTAAATTAGGAAAGGCGAATATATTAAGAGTATAGCTAATAGTAGTAGGGCTATTAAGACTATATAATAAGGTAGAAGATATTATCTAAATAGTATAATAGTATAGAGGCTTTAAAGCCTCTATACTTAGTAGAGCTTATAGTATAGATATTTAAATAGTAGAGGAGAGGAAGATAGGTATAAATTAAATATAGTATAAAGGGTAAGTATAGTTTAAAGGAGCCTTAAGAAATAGAGGAGACTAATAGAGATAGAGGTAGCTAGAGGAAGATAGTTAACTTAGCTTATTATAATAGTTAAAGTTAGAGGAGCGTAGAGGTAAAGAAGATATCTAAGTCTGAACTATAGTTATATAACCTAAAGGCTATTAGTAGAGGGCGATGGGACTAGTCTAGCTTTTGTAGTTAATACTAGTTAAATTTTATAATATAAAGCTAGTAGACTATATCCTAAGTTATAAAGTAGATTAATAAGTCTATATAAAGATGCCTCCCTTATAGCTATATCTATAGCTATAAAGAAGGTTATATTTATAGCTAAACCTATAGCTTTATCTATAGCTTTATTTAAAGCTTTATTTATAGCCTTATTGATAGCTAATATAATAGCTATATTAATACCTAATAAGTAGAGCTATTAAAAAAGTATATTAAATAGACTAAATAAAAGAAAAATCTAACTAACCCTAATTACTATTTCTTATACTAAATAAAAGTTAGAGTTAGATAACTTAAAATAACTACCTACTATTAAGTGAATATAATAGCTATAGCTAAAATAAATATAAATTTAAAAATAAAATAATAAAGATACTACTTATAGGTTTAAAACTCTATAATAATACTTTATTAATATCTATTTCTTAGTTTGTCTTTATTTAACTAAATTAATATACTACAACTTTTTAAATAATATATCTATATACTAACCTAAATACTATATAGATATTATTATACTGAGTACTTAGTAATATTATATAGGTTTAGCCTCTTTACCTTTTTTAATATTATCTATATTAATATATAATATTCTTTTATAATAATAATAATATAAGAATAATAATAACGCTTAACTTACTTTAATCTTCTATATAAAATAAACTAATAAAGTCTAAAGTATTAAATCTTAATATAAAAATACTCTATTTATTATAACTTATAACTATAATATTAATTATATAATACGTATAGTTATATAAATACCTTATATAATTAGTAGTTTAGTAGGTTATATTTTAGGTTATTTTCCCCCTTATTCTTCCCTACTAGAGGATATAACCTACTAACTATAATAACTAGAGTTATTATAATATATTTATTCCCTTATTATTATCTATATAATTAAATACCTATAAATACTTAGGATTATTACCTTTTATTATAATATAAGCCTATTTATTACCCTATACTATATAGGTATATATACTACGCCCCTAAATATACTTATACCTATATTAATAATTTAAAGTTAGGATTTAGTTAAGTTAAGTTAAGTTAATAGGCTAAGTAGGACTAAGCTAGTTAAGTTACCTTATTAATTAAGACTAGGCTAGTTAAATTAAGTTAGCTATATTAGGTGACTTAACTTAACTAGACTAGTTAACTAGCTAGTTAGACTAGTTATTAGGTTAATATATTAGACTATACTTATAGTTAGTATTTATATATTAAACCTAATAATTAATACTAATTATAT